TGCTGTAGTTCCAGCTACTCGGGAGACTGAGGTGGGAAGATTGTTTGGGTCTGGGAGGTTGAGGCTGCAGTGAGCTGTGATCATGCCACTGTATTCCAGCCTGGGCAATACGGCAAGACTCCATCTCAAAAAAACAAAAAAAAAAAAAAAAAAAAGAAGAAGAAGGAAAAAAAAGAAAAGGAAATAAACATAAGCTTTAGTTAAAAGATTTAAAATTCTACACAATCATTCTATACAAGTTCTTAGCCTTATGTTTCTTTATAGTATACGTGAAACTGTATTATTTATTTGTATGTTGATTGCTTTCTTCTGTAAAATATAAGTTCTAAAAAGAAAAACCTTGTCTTGTTAACTGCTGTAAACATAGAGCTTAGAATCATGCTCAGCTTATGGTAAAGTAAGCATTTTTCATTGACTTACCGAGTAATGGGTAATGAACGGATTTAATAGTGGGTAATTAAGAAAATTAGAAAAGACTTCAAAATCTTTACTTCACCAAACACTTAACACTATCAAGCTGTCTAAACAGTGGTGCTTAAACTAAAGTATTTCCCAAAGAACTCTAAGGGTGTTTTTTTGAGTGGCTGCTCTGTTTAGGATTGAACTATTACAGTATTCCCACTGTCTGCTCTGAACTATCTTATGTCTCGTGGAGTATGGCATGAGGCAGAGAAGGAACTGTAAGCAGCAGATCACTACAATTGCTCTGATCCCCATCAATAGTGAACATGAACTAGCATTGCTTCCTGTCAGAGAAACAAAAGTAAACACCTGAAAGCATCAGTTAAAGTTGTTGCTTCAAGAATGTGGCAAAGAGGGAGGAGGGGAAGAACTGGTGGGTTTTGGAATAATCTTTGCAGAACTATTTGACTTCTTATACTTTGTGCATATATTAATATATCTTTGATAGAAATTTAAAGAAAAAAGAAAAAGAAAACCATTGCCTTAATGGAGGGCAGATAGCAAAGGAGCAAGTTACATAGCCTCTATTCTTTCGTTTCCTAACCTATATATGAAAATATCAGTGTCTACCTTATTGTGATGTTTTGAGGATTAAATGAGGTAATACATGTATATCATTTAAATACTCCAAGTTTTAAGTGTTATTTCTACTTACTGAGTGTTCTTTTTATTACTTGTATTCTTGTTACTATTAGAAAATGTTTTTAGTATATTAGTTAGCTTTTTTATTTAAATGAGCTTTTCCTTACCGCTTAAGTAGGGACTGTGGTTCTTCTAGAACAATTACACAGTAATAACACAACTTTAGCATATTTAATAATAAATTATTTTGCCCTACTTCCCTATTTTACTAAAATTAAAATGTGTTTTCTATAATTAAACAGAATTATGTTTGAAGAATCTGAATGATTTATCATCCCTGGACTTAATAAAGATGGATGAAGGTGTTAATTTCAAACCAACTGGTAATTCCCTATCATTGTCAGTAAATTTAGCAATTGTTTACTTAAGACTAAATTAAAATTTTGTTTTACTAAAATTTAGATGATGATAAAACTAAATCGTGATCTCAGTTCTCAATAGGGTATCATTATTACCCATAGGCATGATAAATTTAAACAAGCCCTATTTGTAAAAGGATAGTTTCTTTTTGACAGGTGCACAGATTTTGTCTTCACTGATTCTGGTGACTTCTGGCAGAGGAATGAAATGCTTGAATCTTTGGGTTGCTTAAACCTGCTATAACTATTATAGATATACTTTTATTGGCATGCTTTTGTATGCTTTTTATATTCTTAAATATTCAACCGTTGATAATCTGGTGGTTAGACTTCTGTAAGGTTAGAAAAAATATCTTTTCCTTCTACTCATCTTAGGTTCATTAATTGGGACTCCTATAACAAAAGATATTAGCAAGAGAAAAGCATACAAATTTATTTAATATGTTTTATATGACATAGGAGCCTTTATAAGGAAATGAAGACCCAAAGAAATGGTTAAACCTGAATGTTTTTATGCCAGGTGTGATGAAGATGGAAAGGTCATGGAGAAATATGATAGGACAAAGGGGATATGAACTAAGTGTAATAAATTGGGGGAAATTTAGCAAAGCCTGTTCATTCAGATTCCTCTCTGTGTCTATGGAGATAAAGATGCTCCATTGTTTAGGTATAGGGAGGGCACCTCTCACATGAGGTGTTATGACTTGCTTCAGAGGAAGACCAGAAAAATTATTCCTGTACATGTTGTTCCTCAAATTGCTACAGCTTAAAATATTCAATAGGCCAAGATGCCACATTTTGAGGTAGCATGTCCTGAACCCCCTCTCTCTCTCTAAATTCTGTTTAGAGTATAATAAAAGAGAGAAAGGATGTTTTGTGGTTTTTAGCACTCATGATTAGAAGTTTTTGGAGAAAATGACTTTATTATTCCAGTTAATCTTTTTAAGTAAAGGTAATTTATTGTTTGAAAGTTGGGTAATGTGGAAAAATTTTTTTTGAATTCAGAATCTCTCTGTTAACATTTAGCATGTACTGTTCATTTTTAATGTGTTTTTTACTTACTTGCAACCATACTATAGAAATACATGATTTTGTAAAATGTTAAAATTTATATTTAATATAAGGCTTAGTTTTAAAATAATTTGTTGCCCTGACTCTCAGCCCTACATTAATAACATTTTTTTTTTCCTTCTTCTTTGGTCCTTATTCTGATAAGCCTAATTTTGTTTGTGAGAATTGTCTTCTGTGTGTTCTAGAGCATCTCACTAGAGGGGGCATAAGAATCACTAAGGCGTCATCTTCATCTGTTTTTATATACTTTCATTCTCATCAGGAATCTTATTCCCACTATCACTTCTTTCTTATGGTACTTCTTGAATCCACTGATACTATTCTTTTTGTCTTTAAACATACCTAATAAATGACCTATAATAACATTTATTCTTTGTCAGTCATCAGTGAATAGTACTTAGTTATTTTTTTATTCTTAACACTCCACTTTTCTGGTTCTCCTTCTTCTTTAATCAGTCTTACTTTGCTGACCTTTTATGCTTACTATGTACTTCTTAAAGTTTCAGGCCTTGAATCTTTATTCCCAGATTATGCTCGTTTTTTGAAAACAATTCACCTTCACTGCTACATCTATAGTCATTATGTAAATGAATGCAAAGTTTTAGTTTTGATCTTGACCTCTCACCTTTGCTATAAAATTTGATCTTCAGTTTTCTATGATAAATTTTTACTTACATATATTACATGAAGCTTGACATCCAGAGGCATATGAGTTAATTTAACATGGAATACTGTGAAGCAGAGTGAACACAGAATTTGGGTTCCAAATATCTGTATTTCAGTCCCAGTTCTACTACTTGTTGTCTGTTGCCTTATATTAGCTGTCTTAGTTTACTGTTGCCTTATATTAGCTGTCTTAGTTTATTCATCTAAAAACAGGAATGTATTACATATCCTACTTACTGTATTGGGTGTAGTGTTGATCCAATGTGATAATGAATGTAAAAGCATTTTACTGTAACAGAAGTTGTTGCTGTCTGTTTTCCAAAGCTAGGAAAATCAATGTTTGCCTATTCTCATTAGCTTTTTTGCCACACCTAAGATCATCATAAAATATTGATGCCTTTGGTTTCTTTCATTCCTCGGTCATTCAATATCCAGGCATTTTCCATACTCATTCCATATCCTTTTGGTGTCTGATGTCACCAAACATCAAAAAGACAATCCAATTTGAGCTGAAAATATTCCTTATCATCTACTAGGGTAAAATTTCTTAAGGTGTATTGGGGGTGGACTACTTGCTATCAAAATCAACTGAAGATGCTGTTGTGTTAAAAATATAGTTACTTAATTCTGCTTCAGACGTGCAAACTTCAATTTTTAGGAGTAAAACTTAGGAATTTAAATTTTATCTCTTTGGGTTTAAATCCTCTCTCAGATAAATACCTAGTTCTTTGATACTTTGTAAGATACTTGCATTTCAGCTAGTTATTGTAGTTGACCTTACCAGGTGGGTAGGTTTGTAATTTCTTTTTTTTTTTTTTTTGCAACTTTTGTCTTAGGTTCAGGGGATACATGTGCAGCTTTGTTATGTGGGTAAATTGCATGTCATGGGGAGTACAGATTGTTTCATCACCTGGGTAATGAGCATAGTACTCGACATTAGGTTTTTCAATCCTTACCCTCCTCTCACCCTCCACCCTCAAGTAAGCCCTGATGTTTATTGTAGCCATCTTTGTGTCCATGTATACTCAATGTTAGCTCCCACTTATAAGTGAAAACATGTAGTATTTTGTTTTCTATTCCTGCGTAAATTTGCTTAGGATGATAGTCACCAGCTCCATCCATGTTGCTGCAAAGGATATGATTTCATTTTTAAAAAAATTTTTATTATACTTTTAAGTTCTAGGGTACATGTGCACAACGTGCAGGTTTGTTACATATGTATACATGTGCCATGTTGGTGTGCTGCACCCATTAACTCGTCATTTACAT